AATATCTGGGTTGTTGCTCGATCCGAGTTTCCCATTTGAAGTAGACATCCTTCGAAATCCCAGATCCTCTGGGCATGCTGATGCCTCTGCAATTGGTTACGATTTTCCATCTCCTCCACCTATTGTAGCAGTACATTTATAGTAGTTTGACTTATATGTTGATCTATGTTTTGAGCTATGTTTTGAGCTGGTAAGATTTGCATAATGTCTAGCCGTGTATATTGATTCACAACGGGGGTGGATGCTAAGTCCGAGATGGCTTCGCTTACATGTACAACATTATAGTCAATCACCAATTCATTATCCAGATTTAATTGGTTGCCCAGATAGCGGTAATGGTGGGCTGGTGGCTGCTTCTGGTATTTACCATATTAACCATGGGAATAGAAAATTATACGATCCCCACAGACGACGCCAATGTTCTGCTTATGTGACAGAAGTGTCTAGCCAAGGGCTAATAGATCAGTATTGGATCAAATACTCTCTCCAATGTATCTATGAACAGATATCCTTGAGGTAGCAGATCACTGTACACAGATATTTCGACGTTAGCCAAAGGGGTGGTGTGTGTGTGTGTGCAGTGACAGCATAACAGTAAAATAGAAATATTAGTCCGTACCTGCAGGTTTTACCTCTTATTTATAGAGTTTATCTGTGGACAATAGAGTTCTAGGCCTTTGATGATCTATCCATGAGCCCAATATCTGATTGTAGTTGTCATGATAGGATTGTCATTATTAATAGGATTCTTTCTTGATTTATGTGATTGCCTTTTATTGGGTCTTCACACATATATAGATCTTATATAGGTTTATAACAAATTCATTACCAGTTGATCCATATGCTTAGTGGTTAATCTACTCTTTTTTTCCTCATTCTTATAATATTATGTTGTTCACTAAATATGTTTGAACCATTCTCCTATTGACCATTATCTATATATATAGTAACATATAACCTCTCTCTATTGTTAACATTTTATAATGAGTCCATCTTAATTCTATGTATTTATTCTTTTTATTGTCTATCACCTTTTTATCTTCATCAATTATGGTCATATTGTACCTCCTACCGTCAAATATGTAGATTGGAGAACTCTTTTAAAATTTCTAGAAGAAGCTAAACTATCTGCAAAGGCAAAGGATGTGATTAGTAGACTATGTAATTGGAACCTAAGGGACTGATGAGATAAAAGTACTATCATGTGTATTTTTTGAGATTCTATAATTCACTCTGGGTTGCATCTGCATATTAACAAAATAACTTCGTGGACTTTTATTTCCAGGCTCACCCATGATTATATCATTTTCTTTCTGTAATAAAAAAGTTTTTTCATAAATTGTTTCATGTATATAGAAATTCTTTTACACCAGTGACATTTATGAATCTAACAGAATTTTATTTCAATTCAATCTTGTTTAATTGAACTTCATATTATGTGGCAAAATATGAGGTGTTTATTAAATGTTTAAAAGTAGGATAATTAGCAAGAAACAAAGAGCAAGAAACGAAGCCCATTAAAAAAAGCAAAATCCTAATTTAATAAAGAGTATCAATTACATGACTCGAGCATAGTTATCTTCTCCATTCTCCACGTGTGCAGAAACTTGAAGAGAGTATTAATTTCCTAGGAGGAAAAACCTAATATATTTGGTGCAAAACTAAGATAGAAGCCAAACTATGTTGTTTTGTAGTTTTAGACAATTGGAGGAAAAAATAATTGCAATATAATAAAATTTAGAGTAAACACTATTTTTAGTCCCTGGCAATATTTACGAAGTCCTTTTCAGTCTCTGGCAATAAAAAAGGACCAAATTGGTCCCTAAAAGTACAAGAAAAGGGCCACTCTACATATTTGGGAGTTGACATAAGGACTAACATGACCCTTTTTTTGTAATTTCAGGGACCAATTTGGTCCTTTTTTATTGTCAGGGACTAAAAAAGACTTCGTAGATATTGACAGGGACTAAAAAAAGTGTTTACTCTAAAATTTAATAGTGTTATTTGAAATTAACAACAGGGTACAGATATTTTAAATGTTAAGGGCATTATTTATTGATTAAAAAAAAGATTAAAGGCATATAAAGTTTTCCTTTTAATTTATTATCTCGTCCCCACGCCACCTCTTTTGTAAGCATGGATAGAACTAACTGTAAAGAGGCATGGTAGTGGAAGCTATAACTCATGCAAATCTTTGTTCCCTTTCCAAAAGAACAACGAGAATTTACCTAGTTCCGCATGTGATAGAACTAACTGTAAAGAGGCATGGTAGTGGAAGCTATAACTCATGCAAATTTCATGCCTCAATTACTTAGTCTGTGACAATCAGGCAACTTGCAAGTTGAAAATCTAGTTATGTATCATGCCTTTTGATCTGTCAATCATGGATTATCCCTTTTGTTTAGCCTCATCTTAGCTGGTTGACTTTCGTTAACCTCAACTCAATTATTTTGGATTTAATTTTTCACATACCAGTAAAATTTTATTTTTAACATACATGAAAATTATGCTACTTATAATAAACAAATTGAAACCATATGGTTTGCTCATCGGTCCCTCGAGAAAACAATGAATCAATAATTGATGGATTATAAAAAAAAGTATTTAACTCTCTTTTTACATTTCATTTTACTATCTCGTCTGCAACATCAATTACATGATTTCGAAAGAAAGGGCCTATCAATTATTGTAGAGGAGATGGCTTAGTTGAAAGAAAGTGGAAAAAGAGAGGATAATATGTTATTTTCTTGAAATGAAAGCAATTATTGTATCCAAAACATTAATTTCACGCGTGTCTCTCATTCGCACGATTTGTTTTCTCTCTGCTATGGTTTTTCTTTTTCAACGGGGGAAACAAGACTAGCATCAAAGGAGGAGGAGGAAGACAATTTCAATTAAAGCACTAAGAAACCAAAAGGACCGGTAATCTAGGATGAAGTGATGGATGAACACATGAAACGAGGAGACCAAAGCATTTCAAATGCTTTGAACTTGGAGGAGGAAGCTTATAAAAATCTCCTACAAAGAATCTCTGCTGAACCAAAATCTTAACGAAGGTGGTGTTTATGTTGAAAGCGACAACGAAGACTAGGTGACTCAATAGAAGAAGGAAGATGCTTTTGAAGAGGCTCTCGAAGGAAGAAACTTTTCAGGGGAAGATTACCCACTATGCCCCAAGTACCAGATTCCAAGTGATGAACACAAAGAGACTACAAGGAATGCCCTCATCTTCAAGCTACTAGGAAAGAGGATAGGCATGAGATTCTTGGTCAACTACCTTACGAAGATGTGGAATTTGAAAGGTGCCTATGAATTTCTGGACCTAGAAAATGATTTCTACTTGGTTCGGCCTTGGGACGAGCAAGACTACAACATGTTATTGAGGAAGGGCATCGATAGTGATAAATCACTATGTCACTGTGCAGAAATGGCATCCCATGTTCGACCCATATGATGATTGAGTCAAGAAGCTGGCAGTATGGATTCGCATCCCAGGTTTGCCTATAGAATTTTTATAAGTCTAAGCATCTCAAAAATATAAGAAACCTCTTCGTTAGGACCTTAAAGATTGACAAAAATTCCATTAGATTGAAAGAGTCTACAATAGAAGAGTCTATTGAAAGAGAAAAGTTTGCTAGTGCGTGTCGAAGTAGATTTGAAAAAAGGCTTCTTAGCCAAATTCAAGATAGCTGATAGAATTTCCCTGTAGCTTATGAAGGGCTACATTTAATCTGTTTCAAATGTGGTAAATATGAACAAAGGCAAGATAATTTCCTGAAACAAAAAGAGACCCATTCTCCACACGATGGAGAAACCATTCCTGCTTCCTCACCTCCTTGTCATAAGGATAATACTAATGAGAAGAGGATAAAAGAAATTAAGGAAAATGACCATGGAAGTTGGATGATAGTCCAAAGGAACTTCAAAGGCAAAAACCTCGAAGCTAACTTGAACAGAAATAATATCACATCCCCTATGTCCTCAACAGTCTCCAAGGAAAAAAAAACAATAGTGTTTCAGCAAAAAAGAAAGGCTTCAGATTTGAAGTGATCAGTGTTGATGAAATGGAGAAAGACCAGCCATTAGAGGACCCCATAGAGATCAAAGGAAAGGAAGTAAACACAAATCAGTTAGCTCATGTAACCAGAGGAAAAAGGAAATGAGAAGTCATCAAAGTCAGGACTACTGATCGCCCAAACAAATAGGGGAAAGGGAACAAACCCAATTTCAGCCTCTTAAAAAAATCCAGCCAAGAACTCTTTTCAGAAGAAAGCTTTTGTTTGGCACTACTCAACCTTTGTGGAGCAGCAAAAATAGAGACTAAGAGGGATTGAGGAGGAATTGGAGAAGGGTCTAAATAAAAACCTGGAAAATTTTCAAAATGACCTTTGGCAACAACTGAATTTGATTTTTTTTTCCAAGAAGAACTCACTTGGTTCCAAAGAGCTAGAAGTAATTGGTTAATTTTTGGGGATAAAAATACCAAGTTCTATCACACAGCTACTGTAATTAGAAGAAGGAGAAACAAAATTAAAGCCCTTGAGGATGACCTAGGCACTTGGACTGATGATACTGGTGCCTTTCAAGGCCTTGCCATCTCTTATTTTTTAGATTTATATACTAAAGCTTATCCCAATAAGCCACCTTTCAGCATTAGGGGAGCTTTCCTTTTGCTAAGTGAAAATGATACAGCCCTCTTGGATAAGCTTCAAATATAAGAGGAGATTAAAAGTACAATTTTCAGCATGCATCCTCACAAAGCCCCTAGCCCCGATGGTCACCATGTTGTTTTTTTCCAAACCTAATGGAATATCATCAAGGAATCTATGTTGTCTTTGATCTTTAATACCTTCTTCAATCCAGCCAAGGTCTCAAATGTCAACCAAACCCTCCTTTGCCTTATTCCCAAGGTGGATAATCTTGAACACATTTATGAGTTTAGACATATAAGCCTATGTAATGTGATCTATAAACTGATCACTAAGATTTTATCTAATAAGATGAAAGGTCATATGTCTTCATTGGTCATGCCTAACCAATGTAGCTTTGTAAAAGGGAGGCTTAGTGCTGACATCATCATAATAGCTCAAGAGATGATACATTCTATGAGGAGCAAGAAAGGAAAGAAAGGTTGGATGGTGATTAAAGTAGACTTAGAAAAAGCCTATAACAGAATTGGTTGGGACTTTCTCCAAGACACTCTCCTGGACCTAAAGTTGTCGAGAAGGATCATTAATCTTATAATGCATTGTGTCACCTCTAGCATAATGAACATTTTATGGAATGGTAGCAAAACTTAAGAATTCAGAACTTCAAGGGGTCTAAGGCAAGGTGACCCTCTCTCACCTTATCTTTTTGTGCTTTGCATGAAAAGGCTAGCACATCTCATAACCACATCAACAAGTCAGAAAATTTGGAAACCAATTTCTTTCAATAAAAAAGCCCTCTATTTTTTACCTTTTCTTTGCAGATGATCTTTTTTTGTGCTTTGATAGATCAAGCTTCAGTAGTGAATGACATCTTAAACCACTTTTGTACAGCGTCAGGATAGAAGGTGAACATTGGTAAAACCAAAGTCTTTTTCTCTAATAATGTCAACCATAATAGAGTTATAGAAATCAGCCAAGAGTTAGGTTTTGCCTTCACATTGGATCTTGGCAAATATCTGGGAATTCTTATCCATCACATGAGAGTTGGAAAGAGAACTTTTAATTTCACTATTGACAAAACCAATAAAAGACTAAATGCTTGGAATCAAGCATCCTTAGTAATGGCTGGCCATATTACTTTAGCAAAATCTGAAGTGGCTGCTCTCTTTACCTACACCATGCAAACTTTATCTCTTCTAAATGGGACTTGTGAGTAGTTGGAAAAGAAGATCGAGGGTTTTATGTGGGGTTCTATCTTTCCTCTAGGAAAGTTCGTGCTTTACCTTGGAACACAGTTTGCAAACCGAAGACGAAAGGTGGTTTAGGGTTTTGGAGTATGAAACAGTTGAATTAGGCTTATTTAATGAAAATTGGTATGGTTTGATCACTGATACAGATTCCTTTGTGGGCTAGAGTTCTTAAGAGCAAGTGCAAAATGGAGGACAAGATTATCCTGAAACTGTAAACCATTCAGAACTCTTCAAATCTTTGGAAAGGCTTATCTAAAGTTTGGCCCCGGGTGGAGGAAAAAACTAGGAATTTGATTGGGGATGGCATGAACACTCATTTTTTGCATGACTGTTGGGTCCCTAATTTCTACACGCTCCTAAAGTATGCCTCCCAAGTGATCACACCAGAAATTTCAGAATGAAAAGTAGGAGATGTGATAAATAATGATGAGTTATGGCATTGATAGAAGTTTGAGCACCTTATTACCCCTGAGACAGCTCAAGCTATAGCGAAAATTCCCCTTTCTCCTTGTAATGGCAGCGAAAAAGCCATATGGGCTAGCTCACATGATGGTGCATTTTCTTTCAGCTCAGTTTATAAACTTATTTCTAATTTTCTCATCAGTACCCCCTCTTTAAATTGGGATATGGTGTGGAAATGGGAAGGACCTCAAAGGATAAAAACTTTCTTATGGATGCTTTTGGGGGAAAATCTTTAACTATTCTTCGTAGAAAGCAAAGACATATGTCTTCCTCTGATCTCCGCCCTCGATGTCATACCTACATAGAAGACTGCACTCATATGATTAGAGATTGTTTTGGGCTAGAAACATTTGGCAGAAGTTGCTTCTCCCTAAAGTCTGGGCAGAATTCTCAACTGCCAAGTTATTTAACCTCTTTCAACAAAACATTCTCGACAAATCACATCATTTTAAAAACTCTGATTGTCCTATGTTGTTTGGTATTACATGCTGGTTGATTTGGATGAAAGAAAAAATCTTGTCTTTTCTGATAAAAGTCTGTCTGAAGAGGCTAATTAGGAAAGCAAAGATTTTCCTTAAAAACTATAGGGATGCTCAATTAAAACTGACCCTGGTTGGCCTTCAACTGAAGTGAAAAACTGTAGTGAAAATAAAATAGAACAAGCCATAACCTGATTGGATTAAACTGAATGTTGATGGATCATGCACCAATGGAAGGAAGCTTACGGGTTGTGGTGGAGTGTTTAGAGACGAAGAAGGAGCTTAGAAGCTGGGATTTTCAAATAACCTTGGTATGGGAAGCTTAGTTATGGCTGAATTATAGGGCATTTTTAATGGGCTATGTATTGCTTTGAAAAAAAAATATTTTGCAGAGTGATTCCAAAATAGGATGCAATTTGAACCACCCTCTATTATGCCTTTTATTAAGAACTCAGGAGCTGCTTAAAAGGGACTGGGAAATTATAACTTCCCACACTTACAGAGAAGCCAACAAGGTAGGTGATTGGATGGCTGGCCAAGCTTATTCACATGGCTGGGAGACTCAACCATATAGACAAATTCCTAATGGTTGTGTAGAAATTTTCTTTAATAATCTTGTGGGCATTTCTTGGCCCAGAATTGTAATTCTAAGCTAGTGCTGTCTTTAATTTTCTAATTTATCCCAAAACAAAAAAAAGAAGAAATTATTGTCCAAAATAACTATAAAAAAAGGAGAGGACATAAATGATAGCAATTATTGCTTTGAAATAACCACCAATTCAAGCATTGTAGTCAAAGCAAAATCTTAGGAGTCTGTTTGGATCCTCTCTCTTTTTTAAGCTAAAAATTACTTTTAAGGTAAAGCTAAAAAAAGAGCTTAAAAAAAGCTAAATATTGTTTAATGATTAAATAAAAAATTAACTTAAATGCTCAAACCTCATTTATAGAAAAACTGATGAGAGCCTAAAAAAAAGCTCCTCCCAAAATCTTTTGCCTTTTTTCTTCATTATGAAAAAGAAACTTTTTTTATTATAAAATCTTTTAGTCTACCTTCTACTTATAAGGAGATGATAAGCTAAAAAAAATCAATCAGGCACTACTTATCATTTACTTGTTCTTCAGTATAGTACAAACGATTGACTTAAGGGGGTGTTTGGTACGAGGTGAAAAAAAATTCCCAAGAAAATGGGGTGGGAAAAATTATTTGTCTATATTTGATAGGAGGTGAAGTAAAGAAAGATCGGAAAAAAATTCCCCTCATTTGCTTTTCTGTATAAAATTGTTATGGAAGATTGCTATTGATGGGGTGAAAAAAAATCTATGTGATAGGAAAATTAACACATAACATCAGCAAAATTAACCCAACATTCTCAAAAAAAATTGGCCTACCAAACATATTTTAATAACTTACCCAGAAAAAAAAAATTCCATCATATTCCCGAAAATCATTTTTTCTGTTAAAACAAAAATTTCTTCTACCAAACGTCCTTTAATAAATAAAAATAGGATAATATTTTTCTTATGTTGCATAAGAAAAGTATTATCTCCTACTCAAATAATAAATAAGAGAAAGAAAAATTGAAAGTGAGAGAAAAAAATTCTTGTTGGACCTATTTAAAAAATATGAATGTAGAAAATAATATTTCTTTTATATATCATAAGAAAATAAATTCCCATAAAAATATGGGTTTAATCTTTTCAAGAAAAATATGAACGCATGCATACGGGAGTGAAGGAGGCCTTATGATTAATATTTCCGCTTTCGAGAGACACTTTTAACCCTCAAAAGTCAAAATATTGGGTTTCGGATCAACCCAAAAAAGTAAAGGGATAATATAAAATTTGTTATGACTGTCACGTCTGCAAATAATAATGTTTCCAGCAGTATTATTAATCTCTCTATTGTGGCAGTGGTCCCAACCTGTCTTTGGCATACACATGGATACAAACAACATCTGCCCAACTGGGAATATTTTAAGCAACTAGTGATTCAATGAAAAAATTAAAAAAAATATAATAAAATAAGAGAAAGATTATATTTACAAATTGAGAAAAAAGTTTCCGACGTTACTTTATATAACTTTATCTAATGTTCATCGAAACGACGTCGTTTTGGGGTTGAAAAATTAAAAAATTAGAGTGATAAAGACTATTATAACCCTGAAATAAATTAAAATTACAAAAATACCATGATTTTCGTCCCAAAACGACGTCGTTTTGATGAACATTATATAAAGTTATCTAAAGTAACATCAGAAAAAATAAAGCCTTACAAATTATATTATGTCTGATTAATAATATACTCTTGAATAGAATATTACCGATCAAGCACAATATAGTACGTAAATTTATAAAAAAAAAAATTATTAATATATCCCTACTCATAAAATAAAATAAAATATGCATTTATATATGAACAAGATTGCCCTCACTTCTCCTTCCATCTCCATTTTGTGTGTACCTGCAACTACCTCTCATGGACACATTCAGTTGCATACTGTTCTTTCTTTTCACCTACATCTTTGTTCAAGTGCTTCATTCCCTATTTAGCAACAAATCAAATCACAAGCTTCCACCAGGACCAGTTGGTGTTCCCATCTTTGGAAACCTCCTTCAACTAGGAAAAAAGCCCCACCAAACATTGACATGTCTTGCCAACATTCATGGTCCAATCATGAGTTTGAAGCTAGGCCAAGTTACCACAATAGTCATGTCTTCATCTGATATGGCCAAACAAGTGCTCCAAACCCATGATCAGTTCTTGGCAAACAGAAAGGTTCCTGATGCAATGAGAGGTGCTAACCATGACAAATACAGCTTACCCTTCTTGCCAATTTCACATCAATGGAGAGTCCTTAGGAAAAGTTGCAATGGTCTGTTATTCTCCAACAAGAATCTAGATGCTACTGAAGAACTTAGGCGTGAGAAGATTCAAGAACTTTTCAATGACATTCACCAACACAGCTTAGTTGGTGAAGCTGTAGATATTGGAAGGTTAGCTTTCAAAACCACAATTAATTTGTTGTCAAACACAATTTACTCGATGGATTTTGTTCACTCTGCGAGTAAAGCTGGTGAGTTCAAGGAGTTAGTGGGGAATATCTTGAAAGAGATTGGAAGACCAAACTTGGCTGATTGTTTTCCTGTGTTGAAGATGGTTGATCCTCATGGCATCAGGAGGCGCACTAGTAATTGCTTTGTGAAGTTGTTGACCATCTTCAAGCACTTGATTAACCATAGATTGAAGATAAGGAAAGACACTGGTTACTGCACCAAAAATGACATGTTAGATGCCATGCTTGACAATGCTGAAGAGAATAGTCGTGACATGTACACAACTAAGATGGAACGTTTATCATTGGTATTTTCTTTCCTGACCCTTTCTATTTCTGAATTCCTCTGACACTTTGCTATATGATAGCTTTAGATTTGTGACTGCAACATGTCGAGAATAGTTCTTCTCATTACTCATTTTGTTACACACATATAATATAAAATTATTGAAGGTCTATTACTATTGAAAACCCATCACTTAACTGTTTAAATTTTTAGGTCATATCATATTGTTTTACATGATATAAAAGTTAATGTAACCAGGAGGTCACGATTTGATCATGTGCAATGTCTATACTTCGTGTGGCTTTTTTGTGAGGGTGTGTTAAAAGAGATATCATATTTATTTTTTTGGAGAACTAAAGCGATATAATATAAAAATCATTAATGTATTTTAACCTAACAACTTGATCTTTTAGGTGAGATGATTATTTATCATGGTATTAGAGCCTATATGACTACAAAATCAAGAATTCGATCCTCACTTACCCACTTTCTAATGGAATTAAATCAGCACAAGATATAACAAAATATTATAGGCATGTGTACGCTTCAAGTCCAAATGACTCTTGCGTGAAGGGGTATGTTAGAGAGATAATATAAAATCATTGAAGGCATATCATATACCATCTTGAGATGTTGAGTTGAATTGGTTGCTTATCACATTTTAATATGATTAAGTCATGTAAAAAATCTAAATTATTCATTGACACATTAACTATCACACTTTTAATGACAAAACTCATCAAATGAAAAAGAGAAAATGATTATTTTAATTAGAGAAAATAACTTCTCCTTGCAATGTTGGAGAGAAGTTATTTTCTCTTCAGCACGTACAACAACTCCTGGGACCCATCTGCAAATAAAGGTAACGTGCCTTTTATGAGTGAGTACGTTTTTTCTTTCTATAACAAGAGAAAAACTTAATCCTTTTAATTATTGGTGGTTGATTGATTAATAAATGATAGCTAGATTTTTTATATGACTTATTATGCCAAAGTGAGACATGACATGAGAGGCATCCAATTCCATAATATCCCACTTACTAGCTTTACGTTTTTGCTAGGACTTGTTTGTGGCAGGAACCGACACAATTACATCTACTGTAGAATGGGCAATGGCTGAGTTACTTCGCAACCCAAATATTATGTCAAAAGCAAAAGAAGAACTAGAGCAAACAATTGGCAAAGGTAACCTAGTTGGAGAATCAGACATTACTAGACTCCCTTACTTGCAAGCAATAGTAAAAGAGACTTTCAGGTTGCACCCAGCAGTTCCACTATTGCTCCCTAGAAAAGCCGAAATAGATGTAGAGATGCACAACTATACAGTCCCAAAGGGTGCACAAGTGCTAGTTAATGTGTGGGCTATTGGCAGGGACCCAAATTTGTGGGAAAATCCAAATTTATTTTCACCAGAGAGGTTCTTGGGGTCAGAAATTGACTTCAAAGGACGAAGTTTTGAGCTGACACCATTTGGTGCTGGAAGGAGAATATGTCCTGGCTTGCCATTGGCAATGAGGATGTTGTTCTTGATCTTGGGTTTGCTTATCAACTCCTTTGATTGGAAGCTTGAAGGTGGAATTAAACCACAGGATATGGATATGGATGAAAAATTTGGACTTACCTTAGAAAAGGCTCAACCTGTGCTAGCTATTCCAATCAAAGTTACTAGTTATTAATTAATGCTGCAAAGTAATCTTGTATTTTATTTTCTTTTATATGGTCCAGTGTAGTATATGATATGTATATCCCCTGCTATGTATTGAGACAGTCAATGGCATCTTATGCAGGCAATGAGAAAATTTGAATAATAGAACTTCATGATATGAGACGTAGACCAAGCACTTGGACACACTTTGGAAGTCGGGTTAATTAGTATTTTTTATGTTACTGGAGATAATTTTATTTTTTACAAATACATAAAAATATATGAAATTCATATTTTTTCTCTCTCTTTCTTCTCTTCACATGGACTCCATATAATTTTATGTGTGTGTAAGAGATAATTTTTTTCTACAATATGAAAAATATCAATCTCTTAATTTAGAAAACTACATTATTAAGGTAAAAAGCCGAGACTTTTTTGACAATTTTATTTTCACTAAGCTCGTATGTTAACATACATAATAAAAAGCCCAAATTACATCATTAAGCGTGAAAGATGTGGGAAAACTTAATAAAAATTATTTTCATTAAATAATATAAAATTATATTTATCCACAAGGTGTTGGAAAGGTCAAATGAAATGGGCTAAATGGGCTTCGTGGACCGTGATAGGATAAAAATTTGAGTTCTTATATATTGTTAAGGGATTAATGATTTTTATGTTATATAAGATAATTTTGTCTCATGTATATGCATAAAAATATATGGGACTCGTATTTTTTCTCTCTCTCTTCTCATATGGAGGTACCATATTTTTATATATATAATAAATAAAATTATCTCTTACAATATGATAAATATTAATCCCTATTATTAATGATATAAATAGACAGGATTGTCTATTACGTTTGTATAAACCAGACTATCTTAATTTCGTATTAACCTAACTTAAGTAGTAAAAAAATTAATTAAATGTGTTATCAATTTATTTAAATAAACATATTGATGTTTAGCCTGTAAGTTTTAATAATGATGCACTTTTTTTACTAAAAATAATTATTTGATAGTAATTGAAATAATTTAAATTATAATTATTGAAATATTATGTGAGAATGACTTTTTTATTTTATAAAGAACGATATTTTCGTATAAGAATATTTAAACAAAATATTATCGTCTTATGTAAAGAAAAAAAAGATCAAATCATTTCTAAAAAAAATATATGATTAATAAACAAGAATATAGAAATAATAAATAAACACAAATTTAATTTTGAAATCACTTAAGAGTAGTTAAGAAAATAAAAAGTAAAAGTAATTAGGAAGGAGTGTCAGTAGTTCTATCCTTATCCTAAAACATTTTTTTAATATTATTTCTTGAGAGTCAATGATTATTAAAACTTGAACAAATAAGTAAATTGAACAAATAAGCAAAAGTAAAAAATTTAACAAATAAGTAAAATGAACATTCTTGAGAGTCAAATGTTTTAAATGCTTACTTCAGCTACTAATTAAAATATTTATTACAAAGATTAGGTAATTAATAAGATTATGAGAAGGATCTTGGAAATATATTAACTGTTGATTCTTTAAATATGCCAACGCAGGCTTTCTCTCAGTGTAGCACCTCTTGGTTTGATTGTTGTTTCCCTCAGCAGTTATCATGGCATCAAGCACTTTCTTCATCTTCACTGTCCTTTGTTGTTCTACTCTGATACATAATGTTGCCTCTGTTAATTATGGAACAGCTCTCACAAAATGTTTATTGTTCTATGATGGTCAACGTTCAGGGAAGCTGCCTAACAACCAAAGAGTAAAATGGAGAGGAGATTCAGGAATAAGAGATGGTCAAGATGCTGGAGTAAGATAATATTTTACACCTTAGCATTTTCCTTCTTTTTTGAAATGAAAAATGTTAGTATATATGAAATTTATTTGGGATTTATATCTGTCATGTTGTAGGAACCAAATTCGTTGTTAAGAAAAAGACAAAGTATATAATATTAAAAAAAGTGAGAGGACACTTTATTCAATGAATTGGTCTTATTCTTTTCTTAACATGACAACAAATTTGGTTCTTATAACGTGACGGATATAATTCCCAATTTATTTTTATTATTATTGTAGCATTAATAACTATTACGATTATAGCTTTGATGATGGGTATTGGATACAATAGTATTCAATATTATATTTTCTATCTTTAATAATTTTTGACACAAATATTAACAAACAGATTGACCTTGTTGGTGGATATTATGATGCTGGAGACAACCTTAAACTTGGGTTTCCAATGGCATTTACCATAACTATGCTTTCATGGAGTACAATAGAATTCAGAGACAAACTTGTAAGACAAAATGAGTTAGCAAATGCATTAAATGCCATAAGATGGGGAACAGATTATTTCATGAAAGCACATCCACAACCAAACATATTATATGGAGAAATTGGTGACCCTGATTCAGATCATGAATGTTGGCAAAGGCCAGAGGATATGACAACACCTCGTAATTCCTTTAGGATTGATGACCAACATCCAGGTTCTGATCTTGCTGCTGAAACTGCTGCTGCTTTGGCTTCTGCTTCCATAGCATTTCGCTCTGTGGACCCTAAATATGCTTCCAAAATGCTAACTCATGCAATTCAAGTATAGTTTTATTTTGTGCCATCTCAATCACTCAAATTATTTCATTATATGCAAACTATTTTGTAGTGAAAATTTCTTTTTCTTCTTTGGTTATAGTTGTTTGACTTTGCATGCAATCAGCAAGGCGTGTACCAAAGTAGTATCACACCAGCTTCAAAAGTATATTCCAGCAGTGGATACAAGGTAATCTATTACAATAGTAACAGTTCATAGTTTTCAATTGTGGTCATATATGGGAAAATCATTTTGTCGTGTAATAAGAGATAGTTTTATCATATTATGAGATATTGAAATCCATATTATTCTCTCCTTTTTTATTTTATTATTTAACAATTGGTGAACCCCACCACTTTATGTGTTTATAATATAAGATATGCTACCTCATGTGACATGAGAAAAGATAAGCCCATAAATATAATGATTGAAATACATGATATGTAAATGTTACAAAGTTTCAAAAAAAACATTTAAACTCAGAATAAATAAGTATAGTATAAAAAAACTGAACATTTATTTATTTATTTAAACAGGACGAATTACTATGGGCAGCAGCATGGCTTCAACGTGCTACTAATAAGAAAAGGTACCTTGATTACCTTAGAGGATCAGGAGACACTGGCGGTGCAAGAACAGAATTTAGTTGGGATGATAAGTACATAGGTGCCCAGATTCTTGTAGCAAAGGTATCACTCATAATCCATCAATTGTTTATCTTCTTTATACAAAGTTTACTTCTTTATACAAAGCATTAAAAATTAATATATTTAGAAGAAAATGAATTCGGTAATGTATTATTTTGATAATTTCATATATATTAATTGGGTACGGTACTAATCCATTGTTTATGGCCTATATCTGCAGCTTGTTATGGAAGGTAAAGTGGCGTCATCAGGGATTTGGGCTCAATATAAGTCACAGGCAGAACAATTCATATGCTATTGTGCCGAAAAATCAAGCCAAAACGTGGATAAAACACCAGGGGGTCTCTTATGGTTTCTGCCATGGAATAATAATCAATATGTTTCTACTGCTACATTTGCAATGTCTGTTTATTCCAAATATTTATCTTCAAAACATGCATCCCTAAAGTGTAGTCGTGGCCTTGTTAGTCCTTCTTATCTAAAGTCTCTGGTTCGTTTTCAGGTAATCCATCAAATTCCATTTTCAAATTTGTCCACTTTGTATATAGAAATATTATGTTTACAAACTTTTTCTTTACAAACTTGTTTATATACACCGGGAGGTATAAAAATAGAGAGATGTACTCCCCGGAATATATAAGTAAGTTTATAAAAAATTTGTAAATATAATTTGTCCCCTTTATATATATATATATAAAGGATCCGTTTACAAATTTTTACAAATTACACTATCTTCTCCTGGAACAATATAGTGTAACTAGTGTTCTTCCGGGAGAAGATAGTGTAATTTGTAAGAGTTTGTAAACAAAAAAGTTTGTAAATATAACATGTCTCATATATATATATGCGTTAATATTTCTACTATGAATGCAAATAAGTTATTTATATTCACTCTCAAAACAACGTCGTTTTAGGTTAAAAGATTAAAAAATTATAATGATGAAGACTATTATAACTTTGAAATAAATTATAATTATAAAAACACATTGATTTCTGTCCCAAAACAACATCGTTTTAGAGTCAAGGGAGATAACTTATTTGCATTTACTGCAAAAAAAATGAAGCCATATATATATAAAGTCTTTGAAAATATGATATGCTTCTATTTTTTTTTTCTTGTTAATAATGAAAAATAGGTGGACTACATATTGGGTTCGAACCCAAAAAATATGAGTTACATGGTGGGATATGGGTCAGATTATCCGCTACAAATTCATCACAGAGGAGCATCAATTGTATCAATAAAAAAAGATGATGAACCAATAACATGTGAAGGTGGGTTTCAGACATGGTTCAATAAAAATGCACCAAATCCTAATACATTGGAAGGAGCAGTTGTGAGCCCAGATAGAAATGATGATTATTCAGATAGTAGGAGTGACTACCAGCTAGCTGAGCCAACTACAGTTACTAATGCACCTTTAGTTGGTGTTCTTGCTTATCTAGCTTAAATTTGTATTGTTTATTACTCTTAACATTCATTGTAATTAGAGGTGTTAATGGGGCAAGACGAGTCTAACTTTGGTCTTAAAAGGCTAAGCATGTATTTAAATGTGTTAGTCTGACCAAACCTGTTATCTATATTAATATAATTATTGGCATGTGGCCTGACTTATTTACAAAAAATAAAAGCTTGATTTAGCCTGTTAGCCTGTTTAAAAAAATAAGATAACAAAAATTTATTCAAACAGAATACATAATCAACAACACTAGTAATTTCATAAATATTCATAAATTCATTGTATATCCAAACAGCATAATATAGAACAAAATCATTCAAAAAATCTGTTTAACCAATAAAATGAAGTGAAATGGATTGAGGAGAAAGAGAGGGCTATTATAAGTAGTATAAAAAATATATATAAAAAATAATAATAATATATTAGGCCAGTCTGAGAGGCTCTAAGGTCGAGCTTTTGAATTGGAGCCTCAAGCTTTTTTTATTAAACGAGCTTTTATACAAGTTCAAGCCCGGTGCCAACATTCAATTTTAGACATGTAAGCTCAGGCCTTCACGAGCTGAGCCAAAGGCATGTGGTTCATTTAGCACCCATAATTGTAATGTACTAAATTACTATCTTATAATAAAGGGAACACTTCTAGTAACATGTTGCATTGTTTTACTTGAACTCAAGATTCATGATAGAATTTGGCTTACAACTTAATTTTGTTTCAATTTGCACACGTTTCTTCTAGACATGAGTTTTGTAACTAAAGAATTTCTTCTATATTGCCCCAAATTTCATTTCTTTTTCCTCATCCTCCCTCACATAAGTTCGGACGGTTTAGTGGTGTAGTCTATGAAGCACTGACACTTCAAAAATCCTAAGGTGTCGTGTTTGACACTCACCGACACTCCAACACTTCCCCACACTCCAATACTCGTTGCAAAGAATCAAAAAAGATTCAGATGTTACATTGCGTTGCATTTTGAGTTCCAACTGTTAGATTCGTTAGATTAAGATTACGATTACGATTTTATTGGATTTAATATAAATATTTGGGATATCTTATGTTTCTTTACAAAAATGATGGGTACTATAAGTTTAGCTTTATTTTTTTTGTTAAATTATGAAATACTAAATATAATATTCACTACACAAATTAAAAATATTATATAATATTAAAACGTGTCCTAACGTGTCGAAATTTAATATTTTTTAAAATTAATGTGTCGGAGCGTCATATCGTGACGTATCTCGTGTCTTGTGTCGGTGCAACCTAGGTAGTTAAAGATCTAATAACTTACATTTATTGCACAAATTGACTGATGGAGGAAAAACAATTTATAAAAAAATAAAATAGGAGTATTTCAAAATGGGATAATCTTCTACACGCAAGCATGACCTTGTTCCATGCAACACTTTAAAAAACAAAAACAAAAACAAAAATTATATGTATCAAATGATGGTAGTTTAGTTGATGCTAAGAAATTGCATAGATGAAGATAAGAGTATGTATTCGATTATCATCAGTATCATCTTTGAGAATGATTTAAGACCTAAATCTTAGGATCTAAATTAAATTAGACTAATCATAAAATGATGAATGGATATCTGAAAATATATATATATATGTAACTAACAATTGACTAGGCCATGAATGACGTCAGTTCACCTAATATTGCTTATTCACTTGGCATTTGTGTTTTTCCCCACTTCCCTCCTTCCTGTCTCCATTCATTATTACTCATTAGCCATTGCCACTCAAATTAAACATGTATTGGAAAATGTGATAACTATTTTTGAAAAAAAAAAAAACCGATTCGCTTTCTCTCACTCTCTCTTCATTAATTATTCCACGTTAACCACATCACCCTAATTAAACATGTATTTAAAAAAAGTAGGATATATTTATCATAAAAAAATTTATCATCTTTACAATTAATTTAATTACAATTGATTTCTATCAATTTGATGATTATAATTTATTAGGAATTAATAATTATTAATAAATACGATCCAATAATTTTTAATAAATTATAATCGTTAGATTAATAAAAATCAATAATAATTAAATTAGTTATAAAAGTTATAAATTTTTTTCTACTGAGTATATTATTTCCTTTAAAAAAGTCACAAATTTCATGACATATTTCTAAGCTATAAAAGGCGCTGATCCACATAAAAAATTGTAAGCTCCTGTCCCATCTTAATTTTCTATAGTCCCGTCTCATCTTAATTTTCTGTAGTCCTTCTCATAATGAAAATTTTTGTTTTTCTATTTTATCCTTACTTTGACTTTCATTTTCCATTTTTATCCCCTTAGAATTCTTTCTCTTAGTCCACATCTTACAGGAGTTATGGACACTTTTCTTCTCTCATTGATTGGACGTTTGTTTAGTATAACCGTTCTAAATAGTATATTAGTATTTAGTACAATGATTTGGGAAAAGTGTTTATCATTTTAAATGACATAAAATTATGTCATTTTAAGAGAAAAAAGTGTTCACAAAAAAATGTCTATCTCTCTCTTAAAATGACATAACTTATGTCATTTAAAATGACAAACACCAAACCCTTATTATAATTATATATTTTAGAAAATATATAATTATAATGTGTATCATTTTAAGAGCATGTTTGGATGGACTTCTTTATTCCCAAAAGCTGCTTTTTTTTATAAAAAAAGTGCTTTTAAACTTTTTTCAATGTTTGGATAGTAACTTTAAAAAAAAGCAGAAGTTAGTAAAAAAGCTAAAATCTAACTTTTTTGAAAAGCTGAATTTTTTAACTTTTACAAAAAGGAGAAGCCAGAAGCAAGAATGACCCTCTACCCCCTTCCTTCGACATTTCACTTTTCTATCTTCTTTTCCCTTCTGAACTTTCTCTCTTCTAAGGGTCTTTAATTAATATCCATAACAGGAAAGCTGGTCGTCTTGACGAACTCGTAAGGTGAAACGTCCTTCACATTCTTCGTAGTAGCCATGGCTATAGTTGTTGCCGCTAAATAGTGACTGAACAAACAAAATGTTTCTCTCTCTCTCAACAACTAGGGTTTCAGATTCTATGGGTAGGGATCGCATCCTTCACTTCCAAATCACCACCAAAATTCAGTTCTTTAATCCCCTTTCAGCCATGGCGGAAAGCTCTCCACAAAATTACAATCCCTTTTCAGCCATGGCGGAAAACTTCCCACATCAGAATTGAAACTTCTCTTGAAACCAAACTGGAAAGGGCAACAGGCAGAATGCAAGAAATGGCACAAGAGTAATTTCATAGTTAAAAGTGCTTTTTTTACTTTAACATCCAAATAACATTTTTATTAAAAGTACTTTTTTAATATTGCATCCAAACACAAAATAACTTTACCTTTTAAAAAAAGTTCTTATAAAAAAAGCAACTCATAAAAAGTCCTTTTTTTCAAAAGCCTATCCAAAGGGCCCTAAAGGATACAAACTTAAGACCTTTTTAAAAAGAGAGATAAATATAAAGTGGTGATATTCACACCTTTATTTTAATTTTTTGTCTTTATTTTTTGTAGTATGACTCGCACCTCTTTGTGTCTATCTCTCTTACAATGATTTAAGTTTGTGTCCTTTAAAAGGACACACATTTTTCTATAGTTATAACATTAAAGTTATTTTTAATCTTTCTCTACTTCAGCCGATAACTTTTTGAGGTAAGAGGGAAAAGTAACTTTAATATTGTAAATATTACTCCCCGAAATACATAGTTTATAATATTACCATTGCACTGAATACTTAGTACAACAGTTGTACTAAAATTATTTTCACATTGATTGCTCTATGTAAGAACTCGCACCGTTAAATTATGAATTTAAGAAATAATTCCATAATTGACTTTGGATAAATATAGAAAGATTAGAATAATTATTGAGAGGGTCAAATAACGCTTAAATCTCTTTTCTGATGAAAAGTGCAGATACTCATTCTGTTTCACGGTATAAATGCATACCGATAAAGTATTCCCAAAAATTATAATAAAAATACAAATATTCCTACAAAAATATCTAGGTCAAAGATATCAAATTGGAGTAAAGATAATGAGCGGTGATGTCCAAAGTACTAATATTGGCTATGTATAAAATGTGTACCGGTAAAGTATTTTGAAAAATTATAATAAAAATATGATAATTCCTAAAAAAATGTCTAGATTTAGAATATTAAGTTTGGTAGAAAAATGATTAGTGGAGCTATTAGAAGTAATACTCTTGATTAGTGGGTACACTAATATAACTAGCCACTTGCACTAAACCCTAGGTCAGTTTTTTTGATCCCACGGTTGATCCCATGGCTGTCACCTTCCTCCTCCAAGAATGCTTGAGTTTTGTGCATGAGACTTAACCAAGAAACCACCTTTCTCCACTCTTAGACTATAGAATCACCATTAAATCTTGTAAAACTTGAGTCTTGTGAGGGAAAGTTTATGTCTTGAGGGTTTATGCTTCTGTTTTTCATAGTGGGAGGGCTGACCATTGGTGTTCTTAGAGTGTGCACCATTAATACACTCTAGAAAGCTCCAAGAACCAATCTTTGTGAAGAAAGAACCTACCTTAGAGTGAGATTTTTGTGCACCACCAAGTCAATAGCTAGGAGCACCTTCAAAGTCCTCAAAGCTTCCCCATTTTCTGGTTTTAAAGGTCCATAGGTAACTACAAGCCATTTCCTTTGTAGTTTCTTGAAAATGAGTTAGTTTGTGAAGTAAAAAGTGGAAATCTTAATGACGCATGTAAAATATGGTATAGTTATGTTTAAGCATGTTGTTTAAACTTCTGTTTGATAAAAATTGGACCTTGGACCCTTGGAAGCCATGGAACTCGCGAATTATGCAGAAAAATCTACAGTTTTCGTGTTCTGTCCGTGTGGTAATCGATTACCCTGTGCATGGTAATTGATTACCATGTGGAGTAATCGATTACGCTGTTCATGATAATCGATTATCGTGTGGAGTTGTATGGTAATCGATTACCCCTTATCAGAAATACCTTA